AATAAAGCAAAGCACAATAAAATGAGGTAGACTGTCCTGACCAATGTGGCACAGTGGGTTGGGCATCATCCCCCAAACCAAAAGGTTGCTAGTTCATTTCCTGGTCAGGGTACAGGCCTGGGTTGTGGACCAGGTCACTGGTCAGAGGTGTGTGAGAGGCGACTGATGTTTTCTTTTGCATATGGGTGTTTCTCTTCTTTTCTCCCTCCCTTCCCTTCTCTCTAAAAATAAATAAAGTCATGTTAAAAAAGATTATTTTATTTTATTTTATTTTTTTAGAGAGGGGAAGGGAGAGAGAAAGAAAGGGAGAGAAACATCAATGTGTGGTTGCCCCTCATAAGCCCCCTACTGGGGATCTGGCCCAAAACCCAGGCATGTGCCCTAGACTGGGAATTGAACCAGTGACCCTTTAATTCTCAGGCTGGCTCTCAGGCTGGCACTCAACCACTGAGCCACACCAGCCAGGGCTAAAAATAAATAAAATCTTAAAAAAATAAAAGATATTTAAAAATATGAGGTATACCTGTATTTAAGGGCCTTAAATTTTTTATGGAGACAAAGAATCCCATAACATGTAAGATCTATTTTTACTCAGGGAGCAGCGCCTGTACACCTTACTACTCTCTTGCCCTGGTTTATTGCTTTACAGCTCTTGTTATGACATGACATGTCCATCTGCTTATTGTCTATCTTCCCCATTAGCATATATGCTCCATGGGGATGGGTCGGGGTGGGATGTGCCTTTACTGTTACTCGGATGAATCCCTCAGGCCTAGAATGGAGCAAGCACTAAACCCATAACTGATGAATGAAAGAATCTCCTCTTTCTGTAAAACCACTTATCACCTGTAGGTCCAAGTGTGTACTTTTTAAATTAAAAAACTATTATTAGTACTATTTTTTATTACAAAAGCAGAAGATGCTCTGGAGAATGTAGCTGCTATAAACTAGGTTTAAGATTTGGGCTAAGGTGCTGAAAGACAAATACCATATGATCTCACATTTAACAGGAAGCTAAACAACAAAACAAACAAGCAAGCAGAAAAAAAAAACCAACCAAAGACACTGAAATAGAGAACAAGGGGACAGTGACCAGAGGGGAGAGGGAAGGGAAGTTAAGGGGAAAAAGGGGGAGGGATTTGGAGGAACAAATAGGAAGGACACAGGGATGAGAACTAAGGGGGGTGGAAATGGGAGGCTGGGATGGGAGAAATAGACAAAAAAACTGTACTTGAAAAATAACTAAATAAAATTAATTAAAAAAAAAAGATTTGGGCTAGAGAAAAGTCATAATTGCCCAGGACCCTAACCCCAGTTCCTTTGTTACCTGGCCTTACCTAAATTCAGCCTTTCACACCAGTGAAAGTTTTCTATTAGGTGATTTTTCTCAGAGTTTGGGCACTTCCCAGAAAGTGCCATCATTCTAGCATTTGGATTATAGCCACTGAGTCATTGGTTCAGTCTTTCATTTTCAATGAACATATTACACAAGTGTTCGCTAAGTCCCTTTTGCTGGGGGGGTGTTAAGACCATCAGCATGTTTCTGTGCTCAATGAGCTTTGGTTCCTTTGGGGAGCTCAGACACCTCCATGACCAAAAAAGGCTGTTTAGTGAGTCTCCTGTGAACCATGCGGAGCCCTACTTGAGCTCAGAAGGAGCACTCACTTGGGGGCTTTAGGTATCAGGGAAGGCTTCTTGATGGAGGTAGCATATGAATGAAAGGCAGAAAGGCAGGCTGGCCAAACTCAGGGAGGAGATGTAGAGCACAGGGTAGTGGGAGTCACACAAAGGCCCAGAGAGGAAGGGGACTGTCTCTTTGGGGAATGCGATAGAGGCTCTGCTCAGGCCCAGATAGGTGAACTGTAAGTGGACTGTGGAATTGGGTTGGAGTTGCTCTGGGAGGTCCTTGAATGCCAGACTTTGTAGTTTGTACTTTATCACAAAGGCAACAGGAAGCCAAAACAAGTTTTAGAACCAGTGAAGCACTGTAGAGTGGGGTTTTAAAAAGATTATTCTGATGGCTCTGTGGACTATTGAGCTGGAAAAAGAAGAAATTTGAGGAAGAGATGTTTAGAAAGGGAGGGACAAATGAACAGGAGATTTTGGACTGGGGAGCCATAGGGGGAACATACTGGGAAATGGATTTTTTTTCTAGAGTTTATGAAGGGAAAGTCTTTCAGGTTTGGTGACCACATGAGTGGAAATGAAAGCTGAGGAAGGAGATAATTAAGGGTGACTTGATGAAGCCTTCATGCCTTAGGGACTAGAGCAGTGATGACACTATGGGCAGAAACGTGAAGACTGTGCGGGAAATTTCAGCTGGGCAAGAATGAGGATCTGTGTGGGGGGTTAGAGATGAAGAGTCTGAGGTTGTGGTGGGGCATCTGGTGGATGTACCCAGCAAGCCATTAGTAGCCAGTTAGCCATTGGGGTCCCTTGCCCTGCCTGATCTATGCCCCTAATGCTTAGCAGAAAATTCTGGCCAAAAAAAAAAAAAAAAGGAGAGATTAGGCTGAATCAAACTTTTGATTTCAATGTGTATGCTCATCTGATTCAATAGTTACATATGCCCCATTTCCTCAGTGTTCATGGCAGGCCTGTGTGCACTGTGTCACCTTTTGAGAGTGTGTGATGTGGCAGTAGTCCAGCATCCTCATGAGGTAGTGTGTAGACCTCTCCTAATACAGCTGGTCAGCCCCCACCTCTCTCAGTGTGGAACCTGGCCTGTTTCCCAAGTGTCAAGAGTGTGCGACCAGGAAGATGTTGGAATGCTTGTGTGTGCTCTCAGGAATCGTGACATTGACCTCCTTGGCTCTATCCAAGAAAGACTTTGTGCTGGGACTCATGCCTCAGCAAACCACTTCCTGATGGAGAGTTATGAAAGCAGAGGGTGGGGCAACCATCAGTCACCTTTTCTACCTTCACAGAGCAGATTTTGTAACTTGTTTCCCTTAGAGGTCGCCTACCATTTTCACTTACATTTTATTTTCCCTGGACGGGCATACCAGAAGCAGGGAGTGGGGCACAGGCTGCTGAGAAAGCTCAACCAACACAGAGGGAGGAGACTCAAGGCTTTGATGTGTCTGAGAGCTCTGCCAAGCAAAGCCCATTCATTACAATAGAGCCAACATATCAGTCCTGACAAACATCAGTTCTGGGTCCAGGCTGGTGGGAAATGAGGCTGTTTCTGCAGGGCCTGGCCTGCCATTAGGTGACTCAGTGTGTTCCCCAGGACTTCAGCCAGAAGGCAGGGACAAGGGTTGCAGCCTTTATTTTTTTCCTCTTGGGATTGGCACTAGATCCACAGAAAAACCTCCTTGACCAATTACCTCTCTTCCTCTGATCTCATCAGTCAAAACTCATCAGCTTTAGTCAGGGAAGCAGAGCTCCTGAGCCTAAAAGAGCTTCCATGGTGTCCTAAGTCACCAGGCTTATACTGAGACCTGCTTGGGGTTTAAAACCCCAGCTCCTCAGTTTTTCAACTTAAAAAATGAAGGAAATAATTTTAGCTTCACAAGCCACTTATGAGATTGAGGGAGATAATGTAGAATGTAAAGCACTTAGCACTATGCTCTAGCCTAGTTGTAGTTATTATTAATAGACCCCCTTCTTGAGCAGCAGTATAGTAGTGATTAGTAGTGTAGTTTCTGGAGTTAGACAGTGCAGACTAGGTGGGTTTGAATTTTGAGTCCTCTTTTTTCTTGTTGAGTGACTTTAGGAAACTTTATTTTGCTGAAACTCAATCTCCTCATTTATAAAATGGGAATAACAGTACCTATCTCACAGGGTCACTGTGAGGATTGAATTATGCAAACCAAACATTTAGCACAATTGCCAGTACATACAAAAGGTACAACAAAAGCAACTACTACCACCACTACCACTATTACCATTATTATTGTGATCTTTTCAACCCTGTATCTTTCAGAGTCTAGCTCAAAGTGCCATTCTTCCTATTAATCACTTTTCTGATCTTCATTGATTTGGATTCCTCTTACAATCCATCTTGTACTGTTTCTGTTTATGGCTGTGCCCTCAAAAAATATAACTGAACCTTTCAGGCTCACCTTGCTCCCACCTTGAGGCCTGTCTTCACATCATTATTGGGTTAAAAAATCCACATCCAATCCCAGAAGCACTGACATCAGAGAACTGCATTGTGCAATATACAGCAAAAGTTCTCAGAATTGTTTTTAAAAAAGCTCTATTTCTTCCAGTTTCCACTCCCTAAGACGTTGCTCATTCCCACCTCTCTCCTTTCTGAGCTACCCAACCCCCACCAACCCTCTTCTTTCTTCAAGTGCCCTAGGGGGAATATGTATAGAATATAAAATGGATTCCATTTCTCGGGGGACCCAGGGGGATGAACACACACATAAGTAAATATACTTCATTTTATATAAAGTATATAAATGGATATATTTATATTCCCTTTGTGTCCTCAAGGAATCCATTCATTCAACAAAGAGTTGAGTGCCCACTTTGTGTCCGCACCGAAGTATCTGTTAGGAGAAGAAAAGCGAATAGAGGTTCTAGCTGTCATGGAACTTACATTCTACTGCGAAACACTGAAGAAACAGAAAATTTCAGCTATAGCAAATGCCCTAAAAACAACACTGGTCTTTGTGATGAAGGGTAGAGCATACCCCCGATATTCTATTGGGTGATCAGGGCGGACTCGTAGATGAAATCTGATCCGAGGTTCCTTTAATGAACGCGGACGATATATAGACGTGAGGGATCTTGGTGGTTGAAAAACTGGAGGCCGGCTCCCACCTACCGTCGCGCCCTTCTCGAACAGCTGAGCGCCCCGCGGATCTCCGTGGGCCGAATTTTCGCACGTCGCGGCGCCGAGGGCGCTTGCGCATTGGCCGCCAGCAGCCTGAAGTCGGCCGCGCTGAGCCCGGCCGACCCCGCGTGACGTCATCCTCCCACCGCTCCCGCCCCGACGCCCGCGGGCTCGCGCGCATGCTCCGAGCCCCGCCCCCTTGCGTCACAGAATGGCCTCGGACACCCAGGCAGTCCCTGACGTGTCGGGAGGAGCGGCGCGCGGCGGTACGCGGAGTGGAGCTCAGGGCTGCGCAGGGGAGCGGAGCTGAGCGCCCGGGCTGGCCTGGTGAGCCGGGCGGAGCGGAGACGTCGGTCGGGGAGCGGCGAACATGCGCGTTTGACCTCTCGGAGGTGAGCCTGCGGGTCGGGGCCGCTCCGAGGGTGCCTGGCCGTGCGGGCGGCGCGGAGGCCTCTCCCCGGGGAGCCTGCCAGGCCCTGGGGCTGTCTGAGGTCCCGCTGGGCCGGACGGAGCGGAGTTCTGGGGCAGCTGGCCCGGGGGCAGCTGTTCCAGCCGCTCTAACTGTCCTCTAGCCACCCTGGTCCGAGGTGTGGTGTCCTGGAGGCTCCTGCAAGGGATCGAGCTCGGTGGCCCCCGGAGGCTGTGCCCGCGTCCGGGGGTGGGGTGAGGGTTGGCAGGGACGGAGGCCGGGACGTGGCACCGTGGGCCTGGGCGCGGGTGGCGCAAGGAGTGGCTCAGCTGGAGTGGCAGCGTCGTGCCCAGCCTTCTCCCCGCCCCTTCCCTCGTAAGTGCCTTTAGCTGCAAGGGTTGTTTGGAGCCGGGTTGAATTTGAGCTCTCTTCGCCTCTCCTGTCGGGGGACGAGAGCGAAATCAGCCCACGTTGGGCTCCGATGGCATTCCCGTGACTGTCCGCCCCGAACGGCCAGTCACCCCTCTTGGAGTTCAGGGGAGTGTCATCAAGCGGGTTTGCCTTGCTTTTGCTCGCCTCCTTTTTGCTGGTAAGCGACGAAGTAAACCTGTAAGTTTTGCGAAGGAAGTGAAGGTCCTTTCACTACAGCGCTTTCACATATATTAGAACACTCTTGGCTATGGCTCTTGACCCTTATCACCCTGTGGTTGTGCCTGATGTGTTATCGCTGTTCGACGGATGGGGAAATTGAGCCCGGGTGGGGTGGGAGGTATTAAGTGATTTATACTGTGGATTCTACCAACTTGTGAATGGGTTCGCTTGGCTCAGAATTTACATCTCTAGGCTCAGAGTTATGGTTTTTTTTGGGGGGGGGGCGGGGTGAGATTTTTATACCCTTCTCAGCTGTAAAGCAAAGCAATAAATTTGATTTGCCAAAAGTACTTGTATACCAGAAGCTAGTAGAAGACTTATTTAAATGTTTTTGAGCATACTCAGGATAAGAACTGCTACTCAGTTACAAGAAAAATGCTACTCTGAAACGTGTTCACGGGTTGCTAAATAATTATCTTGTCTGATAAATTGTGTTCTTTTTTTAAAAATTGAATTTATTTGGGCTACATTGGTTAATAAAATTATATAGGTTTCAGAAGTACTCTTCTATAATACATCATCTGTATATTGTAAGAGACCAGCCCAAGTCATGTCTCTTTCCATCACCATTTATCCCCTATTATTCACTTCTACATCCCCCCACCCCTCTTTCCCTATTATTCCCCATCCTCCTCTGGGAATCATCATACTGTTGTCTGTTTCTGGTATTTTGTTCTTAACCCACTTAACAAATAGGGAGGTAATGGCTTTGCTAAATTGTGAACTTGTTGGTGTAGCATTAAATCCTGGGTTGAAGAGAAGGGGAACTGAGTGAGATATTTATTCTGAATTTTCATTAAAATTATTTGAAGTTGGAGATCACAAGGAACAGAGAATACGTTTGGCTAGCTCTGCTAAATCTAATGAAGCTGTTCTTTTTTAGTTCTGTTTTGACTCTTAAGTAATTGGAAGTTAGAGAAGGAACACTTAAAATATGTAGAAACCTCAGTAAAAATTTAGGTCTTGCTTTCATGACATCTGCAAAACTTACTTTTATTCTCATTTTAAACCATGCTGAGATAAATTCGGTTAGTTAAAGCTTAAAATTACTTCTGACATAAGTTTCTAAGCACTTCATGGGGTAGAAAAAAGTTTGGTAGGACCAAAAGGGAGACCATATTTATGATCAACTTTGAAAAGTTAAACATTCTGTAAATGTCACTTTTGGGAGAAATAAAAGAATTTTGGTAGAAAGGCAGGTATTACCTATAGCAGCGATTTTCAACCAGTGTGCCACAAAAAATTTTAAAGCACGTAGTGCCTGACTATTTAGTCAGGGGCACTGACATCTTTTCCTGTAGGTCATAAGATAAAAAAAATGACAGCTCACCCAGCATAGCCATCTGGTGTGAATGAATCAAAATTATACCTATTTTGTTAGCTCTGCAAAAAGTATATCTTTTGGTGTGCTGTGGAATTTTAGTAATTAGTTTATATGTGCCATGAGATGAAAAAGGTTGAAAATCACTGGCCTACAGTGAAGTGCAAAAGAACTTCTAGTCTCATTAGCACATTCTACAACTATTAACAAGAAGACAATATCATTACCATTGTACAAAGAGGAGTTTGGTTTTTTTGGGGTAAATATAGCATTTTGGATAAGTTGTTTTATACTCTAATGAGTTGATTTGTCAGTTGCTAGATACCTGAAGGATATATACAGTATGATAATGCCCCATGTAAAAGTTGTTATACTTTAGAGATACATAACTCCATGCGTATGAGACATGATATTGAGGGAAGATTTGGGTAGTAAAGAACATAATTACCTGCTTTTATTTCAGCTTCAGAAGATTATGGATGTATTATTAAAACCTCTTTTAGGAGTTTGGCTAACTTTCTATAGGCTTAATATCTCTAGTTACATAGTTTCAAATAACACAGTGAACGACATATCCTCCCACTGTAACCTGAAGCCAACTGAACAGACTTTGCAGCCCCTGAATATCCACAGCAGTAGCAAACTTGTCATTTGTAAAAAACTCAATTTTTGGAAAAGGTGAGTCTGGTGAATAAAATTGGAGTGATAAAGCTGGGAAATACCAGTTAAGGAAGCAATAAAAATGAGAATGAGGTGGGACCACAGAGAACTTTTTTCTTAGGTTTTTTGTTTTTTTTTTTTAATTCTCAGTGGAGGACATGCTTATTGATTTTAGGGAGAGGGTAAGGGAGCGAGAGAGAAAGATAAACATTGATGTGATCGGTTGCCTTTAGTACTCACCCAGATTAGGACCGAACCTACCTACTGGCATGTGTCCTGACCAGAATCAAATCCTCGACCTTTCAGTTTACAGGATGATGCTCTAATCAACTGAGCCACAGCAGCCAGGGCTCCTTAGTTTTTAATCTGGCTCTTAAAAGAGTGTTCTCAAAAAAGGTTTTGGAAGTGTTTTCAGTAATGATGGTATTACTGGTATATGCATATAACTTATGGAAGTGATTTATTTTAAGGGATCATTTTTGTATGTTTTAAGTTCTGAAACATATTTTTCTCCCAGTCAGGTGTATCCTTTAAACAGAAAGCCTGATTAAATTCAATATTAACTGAAGCTGCTGATAGTACTTTGGTAGAAAAGCTGCCCAAGTTTCAGTTTTTGAAAATAGGTTTTCCAGATTTACCAAAGAAACTATATAGACCCCAACAGTAGAAAAATTTATCAATGAAGTTTAAGGATAGAGGGAAAACCAAATATGACAGTACACATGAATTATTTATAAAATAAGCACTTTAATCCTAGTGGCGAGGCCTCATGAATGGTAACACACATGAAACAAGGCTAATAGCACGTAGAACAAACCTAGACATTTTCCCCAATGACTGACTAAGCTATAAAAATAGCTCAGGATACTGTTAACATGTAGCTTTTCTTCTAGTTATCAGTTTATGTGTATACAATTAGGGTAAATTGTTTCTACTCATTTACCATCATTTCTTCCTTTTTAACTTTTTCCTAATTTTCTCTAGCAACTTTTTCCCTTTGGTTTGACCAGTTGAACTGGAAAGGTTTGGAACCTAAAGTGAGTATCAACCCTTATTGGAATAGCACTTGGGAAAATCCTGGAAAAGGCAAAGTGTAACTGAAGTGTTCTGATAAAATTAGGCAGCCATTCTCATTGTGATAATGTCCCCCATGTTAGTAACTAGGTTAATGGCTTCTCCTATGGCTAGGTCACATGACCCAGCATGATAATGGGTGCTCCCTGGTAAGGTACTGCAAAACTGTGCAAACACCCACCATTTAAGCTTTCAATAAATACAACGCATCATTTAAAACCATGTCAGTGGCATCAATTAAAAATACTGCATTTTTATTGGCCTCTTGTGCCTCTTGAACTGGCTTGGCTACACTGTTTAAGACACAGAAGATACAATAGTTAATTAGTCGCCACTACAAGTTCCTTAGAATTCAGTACTTCCTGATCTTCAAGCCTCAGCACTTTTTTTTCCAGGAATAAAGGGATTATTTATTAGCATCACTGCTGCTATGGCATCAACATCCCCAGACACTGGAGTGATGTAACTGGCTTTTTCCAGACTCCTGCAAAATTCACATCTCTGACCAAGTTGAGTTCAGTAGTGATGGGATCTTGAATTTTTATTTATTCCCTTATCAATAATGGCTGCTTCTTCCTTGACCATATATGAGTATGCAGTGATCAGATTTGGAATACCTGCAGTGGAGACCACAATATCTGCAAGAATTATGTATTTCTTCAGATGCTTTTTGGGAGTGTATTGTATCGAGATATTGTGACAGTGACATCACCTGTAGGATATTCGTGTACTGCATTTGTGTGTAGTAATTTTGCAATGGGCATTCCAATATTTTTTGACCTTCCCACTACAACTGCATTCTTCCCTAGGGTTGGAATGGTAGTTTGCTTAATTATTGCCTTATACCCCATGGAGTGGGTGGTAACATGGAATACTGGGCCAAATACATTAGCCCTACCTTAATTACATGAAAACTATCAATATCCTTGTCTGGAGAAACAGCATTGCAGATCTTTTACCAGTGTGCTCTGGAAGAGGCAGCTGAACAAGGAGGCCATCTAGTTATCACCATTATTGTTTATTGATTAAATCCAACAGTTCTTACTTTGACATTGAAGCTGGTTTCACAGTATTCTCACTGTTGATTTCCACATCTGCAGCAGCCCCAGTTTTGTTGACATAGGAATGAGTGACTTGCAGGATTCTCACCAAACAAAACCATTGTCAGGTGTGGCTATTTGTTGCCTGATGCTGCCTACTCTTTCACATTCAGCTGCACTTCCTGCTTGATCTACTTGGCAAGTTTCCTTCCTAAAATAACAACAGCTTCATTTAGA